GAACAAAGAAAGCAAGAGAGTTTTTCTACTAGGAGCATATAAATATACTTTTAGGAAATTGGAGTGGCTGGCTGACTCGAAGGAAGTTTATGTTGCAGGTGTTACGTGATAATAAGTACCTACTTCTAAGAACCACTGAAATATTGTTCTACAATGTTTCGATATTGTTCATAACAGATGTCTGCCGTGGTAAAGTATGCGCAAACTTTTGAACATAACAAAAATAAAAGAAAAATGTACATTAAAGGTATTTTCTAAAATGCCTTTCTGATATTTATTTTACTTTTGTATTACTACAAATAAATGCTTCACAAAAATATTTATGAAAAAAGATTATTTTTTACGTTTAGGTATATTAACATATCATAATATATATATATCGTATCGTAATCCTTACTAATATTATAAATGCGAAAGTAACTCTGTCTGTCTGTCTGTCTGTCTGTCTGTCTGTCTCGCTTTCACGCCAAAACTACTGAACCGATTTAAATGAAATTTGGTACGCAGATAGTCTAGACGCAGAGGAAGGACATAGGCTACTTTTTAATGCGTAAAAAGGGTTGTAAGGGGTTCAAAATGGAAATACAAGGTTATCTTTATGCGGTTGAATCCTTATTCGTCATCTTTTCATTTCACTAGCTAACAACCAATCAACACATCGCGTGCGTTTGCGCCATTCGCCATCTTTTCATTTCACTATCTAACAACCAATCAACTCATCGCGTGCGTTTGCGCCAATAAGGTATCCATCACAGAGAACAAAACCACAGATAACATAATGTAAAACGAAAGATCTTGCCGGAAACATGACGTTGACGTTTAGTGAAAATATTGTTTTTTGACACTTTTTTATGATAAAATCGTATATCGTGTGTATGTGTTTTTTCTTTAAACCTGAAATTGGCCGATTGCGAGACAAATTTGGCGATTTTTTTTATTAATTTGTTTTACGGCTCTGGATACAAGCCCAGTTTAGCCCAACTTAAAGTTTTACAATATAAATTACAAAAATTAAAGTCAATGTCCAATGTTAAATAATAATAAATGTCAAACGTTGTTTCCCTGTTCTGAACAACTTAAAAAAAAAAACTTAATAACAATCACAATTTCTTCAAATTTTATTATTTATATTTTTTAAAGAATGTTGTGGTGTGGCACTATCCGAAATTAAATTATTTACCCATTTTTGTAGGTTATACAGAAATAATGTGTGGGTGTTTATTTAAAAAGCATTAACACAAAATTAATAAAGTATAGGTATTAATAAATATATGGTTGTTGTATCAAAATAGAATTTTATTATTTTTCACTAAAATAAAAACTAACTGTCTTTTTTATAAAATAAATGACCTTTATATTATGGAACTATTTAAATTATTTAACTGATTGTAAGAAACAAAATGTTGGTTTGTAGATTAATACTGTAAAATTATTATTTGTACGGAAACGATAAAAATATATTTTTGTGCTGCGACAAAAACTAATATTATAAATGTGAAAGTAACTCTGTCTATCTATCTCGCTTTCACGCCAAAACTACTGAACCGATTTGAATGAAATTTGGTATACAGATAGTCTAGACCCTGAGAACGGACATAGGCTACTTTTTAATGCGAAAAAAGGGTTGTAAGGGGTTAAAAGGGGGATGAAAGATTGTATGGAAGAATCGTCATTTTTGAAGCTAGAAGCTTGAAACTTATTTTTGAGACTGTTGATTAAATATAAATAAAAATGACATTCAATGTTTGTAAAAAGTTACCCTTAAGGGGTAAAATAAAATAGGGGATGCAAGTTTTTATGTAAACACGTAATTTTTGAAGCTAGAAGCTTAAACTTATTGTTGAGACTGTTGATTAAATATAAATACATATGACATTCATTGTTTGTAAAAAAATTACCCTTAAGGGGGTAAAATAAAATAGGGGATGCAAGTTTTTATGTAAACACGTCATTTTTGAAGCTAAAAGCTTGAATCTTATTGTTGAGACTGTTGATTAAATATCCTTACTTCCTTACTTCCTTACTAATATTATAAATGCGAAAGTAACTCTGTCTGTCTGTCTGTCTGTCTGTCTCGCTTTCACGCCAAAACTATTGAACCGATTTAAATGGAATTTAGTACGCAGATAGTCTAGACGCAGAGGAAGGACATAGGCTACTTTTTAATGCGTAAAAAGGGTTGTAAGGGGTTCAAAATGGAAATACAAGGTTATCTTTATGCGGTTGAATACTTATTCGTCATCTTTTCATTTCACTATCTAACAACCAATCAACACTTCGCGTGGTTTTGCGCCATTCGCCATCTTTTCATTTCACTAGCTAACAACCAATCAAAACATCGCGTGCGTATGCGCCAATAAGGTATCCATCACAGAGAACAAAACCACAGATAACATAATGTAAAACGAAAGATCTTGCCGGAAACATGACGTTGACGTTTAGCGAAAATATTGTTTTTGACACTTTTTTATGATAAAATCGTATATCGTGTGTATGTGTTTTTTCTTTAAACTTGAAATTGGCCGATTGCGAGACAAATTTGGCCATTTTTTTTAATAATTTGTTTTACGGCTCTGGATATAAGTCCTGTTTAGCCCAACTTAAAGTTTTACAATATAAATTACAAAAATTAAAGTCAATGTCAAATGTCAAATAATAATAAATGTCAAATGTTGTTTCTCTGTTCTGACGAACTTATTAAAAAAAAACTTAATAACAATCACAATTTCTTCACATTCTATTATTTACATTTTTTAAAGAATGTTGTGGTGTGGCACTATACGAAATTAAATTATTTACCCATTTTTGTAGGTTATACAGAAATTATGTGTGGGTGTTTATTTAAAAAGCATTAACACAAAGTTAATAAAGTATAGGTATTAATAAATATATGGTTGTTGTATCAAAATAGAATTTTCTTATTTTTCACTAAAATAAAAACTAACTGTCTTTTTTATAAAATAAATGACCCTTTCATTGTGTCATATATTATGAAACTATTTAAATTATTTAGCTGATTGTAAGAAACAAAATGTTGGTTTGTAGATTAATACTGTAAAATTACTATTTGTACGGAAACGATAAAAATATATTTTTGTGCTGCGACAAAAACTAATATTATAAATGCGAAAGTAACTCTGTCTGTCTGTCTCGCTTTCACGCCAAAACTACTGAACCGATTTGAATGAAATTTGGTATACAGTTAGTCTAGACCCTGAGAACGGACATAGGCTACTTTCTAATGCGAAAAAAGGGTTGTAAGGGGTTAAAAGGGGGGTGAAAGATTGTATGGAAGAATCGTCATTTTTGAAGCTAGAAGCTTGAAACTTATTTTTGAGGCTGTTGATTAAATATAAATAAAAATGACATTCAATGTTTGTAAAAAATTACTCTTAAGGGGGTAAAATAAAATAGGGGATGCAAATTTTTATGTAAATTCGACATTTTTGAAGCTAGAAGCTTGAAACTTATAGTTGAGACTGTTGATTAAATATAAATACATATGACATTCATTGTTTGTAAAAAATACCCTTAAGGGGGTAAAATAAAATAGGGGATGCAAGTTTTTATGTAAACACGTCATTTTTGAAGCTAGAAGCTTGAAACTGATTGTTGAGACTGTTGATTAAATATAAATAAAAATGACATTCAATGTTTGTAAAAAATTACCCTTAAGGGGGTAAAATAAAATAGGGGATGCAAATTTTTATGTAAAATCGTCATTTTTTAAGCTAGAGGCTTGAAACTTATTTTTGAGGCTGTTGATTAAATATAAATAAATATGACATTCATTGTTTGTAAAAAAATTACCCTTAAGGGGGCAAAATAAAATAGGGGATGATAGTTATTATGTAAATTCGTAATTTTTGAAACTAGAACGATGAAACTATTTTCATTGGTTCTTTTGGGGTAGATTTTTAAATACCCCACTAATGTTATAACTGTGAAAGTAAGTCTGTTTGTCTTTCTGTCAGTCTTACGCTCCAAAACAAAACAAAAATTTAAATGAAATTTAAAAAATTTAAATACAGTTAGTTTACACCCGGACAAAGAATATAGGGTACTTTTGAATGTGAAAAAAGGATTGTAAGGGGGTTGCAATGGTACGCTGTATGGAAGAATCGTCATTTTTTAAAACTAGAAGTTTGAGTTATTTTTAGACATTCAATGTTTGTAAAATTTTTACTCTTAGGGGGAGGGGGGGTAGTAAAATAAAATAGGGAATGAAAGTTATTGTGGAAATTTGCTGTTTGTGTGGTTGTGGAAGCTAGAACGATTAAACTTTTTTCTTTGTCTTTTTAGAGTTAGTTTATTAAATACCCTACTGATATTATACATGTGAAAGTAACTTTGTCTGTCTGTTTGTCTCGCTTACACGCCAAAAATATTGAACCGATTTAAATTGAAATTTGAAACAGACATAGATAGACTAGATCCTGAGAAAGGTAATAGGTTACTTTTTAATGTGAAAAAGGGTTGCAAGAGGATTGAAAGGGTAGATCCAAGGTCATATAGATATATCGTCATGTTTAAAGCTAGAAACTTGAAATTTATTTTTTAGTCTATTGATTAAATATTTATTTTTATTTTTTATCATTTTTTAAGCTAAAATGATGAAACTTATTTATTTGACTTATATTGTGTTAATTGAGTTAAATATTTTTTCATTATTTACGCGGACGAAGTCGCGGGTACAGCTAGTATTATATATATACTAAACACTCCACGTTGAATCTAAGCTATATAGATTTACTGTTACAATGTGCAGAAGTGTTTAAGCAACTAATATTATATATTTTAATTGAAAAACTGGCATTACGTAATTTGTAGGAATGAAATTAATCTTATTATTACAAAACAATATACATCTTTTTTATATTATTGATGACACACTATATTTTTAGCGACATCCCGATTTGAGGTCATGACCTTTCGGTGTAGTTAGTAACTCAAGGCAATGACGCCCTCTCGTTAAATTAGTTATTATATTGTATACTTACATGGCCCCTCGCCGTCATAGTTGAAATCTTTAATGAAGAGCGTCCGTGAGTCTACTGCATACACGCGGCCCCGCACACCATGATGCAGCTCGGACAGTGCGCCGAGATCCTTGCCATAATAACGACCCTGCGCACGCGCACCACCGCACCACACTGTGGACAACAAACAGTATTTTCATTAACATTTGCAATTGAGAAAATATATTATTAGGCATGTATTGTGTATATTTCAAATTTAGTTTCAAGCGTTTTCTCTCCAACATTTTAAAGCAAAATACAAGTCTTTTGCTTTAAAATTCGAAATCATTACTGAAAATATTTTTTATCCAAAATTGTTGTTTCATTATATATTCACAATAAAATGTATTTATATAATACAATCAAACTTCACTTGTGTAAGTTTGTTTTGATCTTCTATTATGTATATAATATATATATATATATATAATTAGTATTAATTAGAATATACTTTGGGTGAACAATAATTATACCTTACATAAACTAACATCGTATGTATTACTACCATACAAATGCATTATTTATGAAATCATCCCCATTTTTGCAATATACATATTGTAGCTCTACTCCTATTGGTCATAACGTGCCTATAATATATAACATATATCCTATAATAACCTTTTTAAATAAATTGACTATCCAACACTAAAAGAGTTTTCAAATTCGAATTAGTAGTATCTACCCATTACCCGATATTTAAACTCGCAAACGTTACCTCTTCATAATTTTAATATAAATGAGTAGGTACTATATTATACAAATACAATTAATGAGATTCGATTATCATTGAAATTAATATTTATTCAATATATAAAAGTGAAGCGCAACTTTTCTATCAACGTTAACATGCATTTAAGACTAAGAGAAAATTATGAATATTTATATTCTATATCGTGCTGATAAGGCGAAAGTTAAATAATAAATATTCAATAAAAATAATAAAAGGAAAATGAGTTTCGAATATTATTTTTAAGAATAATAGCAATATCTAAAATAGTAATTTCAATGTGGGATGAATATAATCTTAGCCTTGTTATTTAACACCGACCATTGGTGTAATTATAAACGGTTCATCCCTACCCGTTCCCCTTGTATCTTAATGAAGTTATTACTAGTCACAAGTACAACAAAATTCTCAACTTATTGAATATTGATGATTGGTTTAAGTAGTAAGAAGGCTTAATGGGTCTACGAAGTACTTGGAAACTGGAAAATTAAATGTTGTTGATTTAAATCGGTATAGGAAATTGCGAAAGGCTGCTGAAATGATTGATTATCACGAGTGGTTATCGGTCATTCCAGCCGGATCTTGCATAATATTGGCGGTTTAAGCGCAAAGAAAATTTGGAAATAAATAAAGATTGATGTTTAAGATAGGTAAAGAATGCTATAATCTAACTAATAAATCAATAAAAACTTCTAATTTATAGAAATAATTCAAAACAAATAAAAATTAGTAATATTTATGTTTGTTTTAGACTGCCTTGTTATCAGTGACTTGGATATTTTTGTAACAGTAAATATTCATGTGAGTAATTTCAATGTCTAGATAATAAGTAACTAAATAAAACAGATGCCTGAACGATACAGCATATATGACATTTTGCTGCTGATGTGTTGACTTTTATACAAGTAAATTAATCATGTGACTTCTGAATGAGAATAAATGTAATTTATTTAATTTGACGTCCCTTTTAGTATATCGTGAAGCCATTGTTTAATATACCTACAGTGCAGGATGAATGTCGACCAAATGTTTAAAGTTCGCCTTGTACCAGTTACTCAGCCCCACCCGAACCAACAGCTGTATGACAACATACAGCCTTTATTATGCTTTATGTAGATAATAAAATAATAATAAAAATAAAATTTCATTCAAACGTAAATTGCTGGAATATTATTACAACTTGTATTTTCTCTTTTACTTCCATTCTACTTATTTTACTACATACTGTTTTCTGCTATTTCCCTATCGTTCTGTCTGAATATCTCTATTTTTTTTACTCGCACTTGATACTGTATATACAATGTGATTGTGAAATCATAAAGTATTTATTCATATACAGTATTTATACATATACATATTACATTTTTTTTATAAATATACATATACATTTTGGGTTATATGTTATAAAAATACATGTCTCATTTATATTGACGGCCTCAGTGGTCTAGCAGTAAAGGACACCGCTTTTCTTCCGATGGTCGCGGGTTCAATTCCTCGCACGGTACAAACATTTGTATTCATGAGTATGATTGTTTGTGTTGCTATGGGTGTTTTCTATGTATAATATGTATTTACGAAAAAAATATATATATATATTTGTATCTAATATCCATAATACAAGCTTGCTTAACTAGATGGTGCTGTGTGAATTGTCCAGGGGGCTATTTATTTATTTATTATTGTACTAGCTGTACCCGCGACTTCGTCCGCGTAAATAATGAAAAAATATTTAACTCAATTAACACAATATAAGTCAAATAAATAAGTTTCATCATTTTAGCTTAAAAAATGATAAAAAATAAAAATAAATATTTAATCAATAGACTAAAAAATAAATTTCAAGTTTCTAGCTTTAAACATGACGATATATCTATATGACCTTGGATCTACCCTTTCAATCCTCTTGCAACCCTTTTTCACATTAAAAAGTAACCTATTACCTTTCTCAGGATCTAGTCTATCTATGTCTGTTTCAAATTTCAATTTAAATCGGTTCAATATTTTTGGCGTGTAAGCGAGACAAACAGACAGACAAAGTTACTTTCACATGTATAATATCAGTAGGGTATTTAATAAACTAACTCTAAAAAGACAAAGAAAAAAGTTTAATCGTTCTAGCTTCCACAACCACACAAACAGCAAATTTCCACAATAACTTTCATTCCCTATTTTATTTTACTACCCCCCCTCCCCCTAAGAGTAAAAATTTTACAAACATTGAATGTCTAAAAATAACTCAAACTTCTAGTTTTAAAAAATGACGATTCTTCCATACAGCGTACCATTGCAACCCCCTTACAATCCTTTTTTCACATTCAAAAGTACCCTATATTCTTTGTCCGGGTGTAAACTAACTGTATTTAAATTTTTTAAATTTCATTTAAATTTTTGTTTTGTTTTGGAGCGTAAGACTGACAGAAAGACAAACAGACTTACTTTCACAGTTATAACATTAGTGGGGTATTTAAAAATCTACCCCAAAAGAACCAATGAAAATAGTTTCATCGTTCTAGTTTCAAAAATTACGAATTTACATAATAACTATCATCCCCTATTTTATTTTGCCCCCTTAAGGGTAATTTTTTTACAAACAATGAATGTCATATTTATTTATATTTAATCAACAGCCTCAAAAATAAGTTTCAAGCCTCTAGCTTAAAAAATGACGATTTTACATAAAAATTTGCATCCCCTATTTTATTTTACCCCCTTAAGGGTAATTTTTTACAAACATTGAATGTCATTTTTATTTATATTTAATCAACAGTCTCAACAATCAGTTTCAAGCTTCTAGCTTCAAAAATGACGTGTTTACATAAAAACTTGCATCCCCTATTTTATTTTACCCCCTTAAGGGTATTTTTTACAAACAATGAATGTCATATGTATTTATATTTAATCAACAGTCTCAACTATAAGTTTCAAGCTTCTAGCTTCAAAAATGTCGAATTTACATAAAAATTTGCATCCCCTATTTTATTTTACCCCCTTAAGAGTAATTTTTTACAAACATTGAATGTCATTTTTATTTATATTTAATCAACAGCCTCAAAAAATAAGTTTCAAGCTTCTAGCTTCAAAAATGACGATTCTTCCATACAATCTTTCACCCCCTTTTAACCCCTTACAACCCTTTTTTCGCATTAGAAAGTAGCCTATGTCCGTTCTCAGGGTCTAGACTAACTGTATACCAAATTTCATTCAAATCGGTTCAGTAGTTTTGGCGTGAAAGCGAGACAGACAGACAGAGTTACTTTCGCATTTATAATATTAGTTTTTGTCGCAGCACAAAAATATATTTTTATCGTTTCCGTACAAATAGTAATTTTACAGTATTAATCTACAAACCAACATTTTGTTTCTTACAATCAGCTAAATAATTTAAATAGTTTCATAATATATGACACAATGAAAGGGTCATTTATTTTATAAAAAAGACAGTTAGTTTTTATTTTAGTGAAAAATAAGAAAATTCTATTTTGATACAACAACCATATATTTATTAATACCTATACTTTATTAACTTTGTGTTAATGCTTTTTAAATAAACACCCACACATAATTTCTGTATAACCTACAAAAATGGGTAAATAATTTAATTTCGTATAGTGCCACACCACAACATTCTTTAAAAAATGTAAATAATAGAATGTGAAGAAATTGTGATTGTTATTAAGTTTTTTTTTAATAAGTTCGTCAGAACAGAGAAACAACATTTGACATTTATTATTATTTGACATTTGACATTGACTTTAATTTTTGTAATTTATATTGTAAAACTTTAAGTTGGGCTAAACAGGACTTATATCCAGAGCCGTAAAACAAATTATTAAAAAAAATGGCCAAATTTGTCTCGCAATCGGCCAATTTCAAGTTTAAAGAAAAAACACATACACACGATATACGATTTTATCATAAAAAAGTGTCAAAAACAATATTTTCGCTAAACGTCAACGTCATGTTTCCGGCAAGATCTTTCGTTTTACATTATGTTATCTGTGGTTTTGTTCTCTGTGATGGATACCTTATTGGCGCATACGCACGCGATGTTTTGATTGGTTGTTAGCTAGTGAAATGAAAAGATGGCGAATGGCGCAAAACCACGCGAAGTGTTGATTGGTTGTTAGATAGTGAAATGAAAAGATGACGAATAAGTATTCAACCGCATAAAGATAACCTTGTATTTCCATTTTGAACCCCTTACAACCCTTTTTACGCATTAAAAAGTAGCCTATGTCCTTCCTCTGCGTCTAGACTATCTGCGTACTAAATTCCATTTAAATCGGTTCAATAGTTTTGGCGTGAAAGCGAGACAGACAGACAGACAGACAGACAGAGTTACTTTCGCATTTATAATATTAGTAAGGAAGTAAGGAAGTAAGGATATTTAATCAACAGTCTCAACAAT